ATTTATTTATTTTTGAAGCACTGTCTTCCTATGTAGCCCAGGCTGGCCTTGAATTCATGACCTTCTTAAGGCCTCTGCTTCCAAGTGCTAGGATTGCACTATGCGCGAGCATGCCTGCTTCTTGCAGTCTTTAAAGAAAGACAAATCTGTAAGTGGAGAAGAAAAAGGGTAGACAGTAGACACAGCCCAGAGGGTTGAGGGATGTAAGTGGGGACAACACAGAGGCTAGAGAGCCAGAGAGTGGTGAGGGCCCTGGCACTCATCTCCGGCGGTTTTAACTGGGATGGGACTCTGGAGTCAAGTTAAAGACAAAAAGACTCTGGAGTCAAGCTAAAGACAAAAAAAAATCACATCACATTATAGAAACAGTTTTGTTTACACATCCGAATTCCTGACCCCCCTATCTGCTTTCTAAGCACATCCCGTGATTCTTGGAATGATAAAGCATTTCCTAAGCCACCAATTTACATTATTTTCATAGCGGCAGCCGTGCATTCTGCTAACCCCTGTTTTTTTTTTGTCTTTTTGAAGCAGGGTCTCCCTGTAGCCCACGCTGTCCTGGAACTCACTGTGTAGAACAGGCTGGCCTTGAACTCATAGAGATCTGCCTGCCTCTGCCTCCCGAGTGCTGGGATTAAGGGTGTGCGCCACCACGTCCGGCGTACTCCTTTGTATTTTTTAAATAGGATCTCACTACATAACTCAAGCTGGTCTCAAACTTGTGATCCTCCTGCCTCTGCCTCCTGAATGATGGGATCACAGGAGTAAGCTGCCATGCCTGGCCACTTGTAGAGTCTTAATTTACAGAACCCTCTGTCTCCTGAGAGTAAGTTGAAAAGCTATTGTGCCCAGGCACCATTTGGAGAATCAGCCTATAGCTCATTGAAAACAGACGTGGTCTTTTCCATGGGTCACTGGGAGAACAGAGAAGAGATTGAGTGTGGATTCTAAGTTTAAGGTCTACCTGAGTTACATGGCTATGCCCTGTCACACACACACACACACACACACACACAAACACACACACACACACACACCAGTATTTTAATAGGTATTTAGTTAAAGCTCTTGATAGCATATAAGGATGTATAGCTCTAACTGGGGGAGGAGAGAAGGGGAAGAGAAGGGAGGCAGGGAAGGAGAAAACGGGAGGAGAGAGACTAGGATGGGGAGGGCAGAGGATTTATTTGACATTTCAGGGGCAAATTGTACTTCAGGCAAGGCTGGATTCAGTTCTGCCTTGGGGACTGTGTCTTACTCCTCTTCCCTTCTAACTTCCCTTTCCCTTCTTGGCCTTCTCAGGTGGCTGCCTACCCCACAGTTGACCAGGACCTCTCCTCACTCTGGTGGAAGGGGCCCTCACCCATCACTCTTTAGAGTGTGTTGCATTTGGGTTGCTTGTCTGCCACTGAAGCAGTCACTGTGGCCATTAACAGAAGGCTCTAATTAGCTAGGTGAGATGCCCACCTCCCTCAGGAGGGTTGGAGCCAGTCTGTCTAGAACCAAGAGGGCTAAGTGTCCTGGAAAAATGAGACTGCAGTTACTGCAGATGAGGGAAGGGATGTCCTTGGCAGGATGTCTTTGGCAGGTAGACTTTCCTTTCCAGTCTCCCCAGATGCCCAAGTTCCTCCTTAGGTGGAGGAGACACTGAGACCTTCTGGGAAAATTCCCAGTATATTTGTACATGGAGTAGACTATAGCCAGGGTCCCTGGGCTCATCCCAGGCTGGGCTTGGGGCAGGGCTGCTGGTTCCTGCAGCATGTAGGACTTTGGCACTTTGCACACTGTCGCACCCCTAATGAGAGGCTGGACTGTCACCGACACACCCTTTTAAATTTATATTGGTATCTGATCTATCAGGTCCATATACCTATTCCTTCAGGAATATTTTGACCTCTTCTTTCATATCAATTTTATATTCAGACAGTTTCATTATGTAGCCCTGGCTGATCTGAAATTCACTGGTAGCCCAGGCTGACCCCGAACTTGGGGCCATCCTTGTGCCTCTCTTCCTGAGTATTGAGATTACAGGCATGCATCACCACTCCTATATTTCAGAGAAAAACCTTTTGTTCCAAGTGCTTTGAAGAATTATATTAAATCCACAAGAAAGGGCTGGGATGTAGCTGATGAGCAGGACATTTATCTGGCATGTATGAGGACTGGGGTGTGAGGACTGGGGATGGATCTCAGTCCTCCAAAGTAAATAAGCAAATGAAAATGTAAATCTACAGATGAACTTGGGCTTCCTTTCTGGTTCTGAATCTCCCAATATGGTAAGTCCGTTGATTAGTATCTCTTGGGTTTCTCATACAAATAACCATACTATTACAATTAATAATAGTGTTGTCTTTTTCCTTTATAATTCTATTCCTTGATTTCTGTTTTTAATCTTTGGGCACCTGCAAGGAAATGAAACTGATATGATGAGTTGACAGCATACTTTGTCCTTGGGTGCTGCTTGCATAGGTTAAGTTCAGTTGTGAACACGCACTTGTCTCTCCACACCCCCCAACACACATCAAACTGCATACTTCTGACTTGTCCGTTTTTCTGATTTTATACTGTTTCAGTAAAAATTAAAAAGAAGGACTATTTCTTCAACATCTTAATTCTTACAACTGTGGGCACTAAGGGTGCCACCGAGCAGGTCTGTGCCTATTTTCAACCCAACTGTACGTTACTGAGAAAAGAAACCCTAACTAAAAATATGCCTATCTGCTGCCATGAACTATGGAGAGGAGGCCTGGGGAGGGGGTTCAGAGATGTGTCAGCCACCACCAGGACAGAATGAGAGGTGAGGTAGAAGCACAAGAAGTGATGTCCACAAAGCAGAAGGAAGAATTTTCAGTCATTGTTATTGTCTAACCAGGGACTAGGTTGCACGTACAGGGATCAGACACCCAGCAAAGTGTAAGGTGTGGACCCAATCAAGTCTGAGGTTTTTAAAGAATTGGGTTTATTTTGCATACTGCTTTTGAGGTTGTGACAAAGACAAAGGCTGGTCTTTTATATGTTAATGATATCCTTAAACACCTGTTAAGCTTGATTCTTTTTAAAAGGAGAGAATGAAAACATTAGAAATCTTTGCCTCCAAAGAAAATTCTAGCAAATATCATAGGTGTGTATCCGACTATCAGAATAAAAGTATAGTTATTTGTCTTCATTCCCAGTCCCTTAAGTTTGCTGAGCCTTGTGAGGTTTCTAGGCATATATCCCACAAGCCTATATAATCTTTTCAAATTACAGAAATAGTGGCCCTGGCACTTATTGATTTGACATCCAGTGGAAGAAAGGAAGTTTTATGAATAGGATTGGTTGGTTCCTGAATAAAATAACAAATTTTGAATGAAGTTTTAAAGATTCTTAAAGATGGAGGATCATTCGTTGGCTTCATAGTTTTACTTTATTTTTACTCTTTCATTCAACCACGCTCCTTCTTTCTAGCAAGTCTCCAGTTTGTTGGCAGATAAAAATACATCTGCAGGCTTGCCCAGAGCTGCACCATCAGCTCCGTAGCCAAGAAGCCTTGTTTTCTTGCACCGCTATAGACAGTCTTCCTCCTCTATTTCACCAGGATCAAAGTCCTATTCGTTGTAGAGGAGTTTTCTCTGAGGAAATCTGGAATTCAGAGTGGAGTCCCCACAGAGTGAATCCTTGAGGGCTGATCCGTAGCCATGGTCCGTGCACCTCGTCCCCTCCACATCCTCGGCAGAGCTGCGCCCCCTCTCCGTGCGTCTTGAAAATACGCCAGCCTAGCCCAGAAATCCGTTACCAGGCTGCTCTGTCCCCAAAGGCCATTCGAAGGCGGAAGAAGACCGGGAAAACCGCTGTGTTGTTGATTCCCCGGCCCAGTGGTCAGCACGCAGCGGGTCAGGTTACAGGCAGGTGAGGCTGGCGGTTTGGAGAGCCTCAGACGCCAGGGCACCCCTGGTCAGACACACCCAGGCAGCCCCCAGTAGTTGCACCACCGGGTTGATAGTCCCCTGGAGCTGGGCGCCCTGCACGATGGCTGTGCGGGTTGTTCTGGGCGAACCTCAACGGTCGTGGGAGAGACAGCGCGACTCCCAAAGTGAGCACGGCCCCTCTTCTAAACTTAGCATCTTTTACTAGACCTCCCCCCTCCCCCCAGGAATGAAGGTAGACAGGAAACAACAAAAAATAAAAATAAAAATAAAAATCCTCAAAGCTTCCCTCCCCGCCAGCATCCCCCTAACCCTCAGCCCCCAACACACACTCCAGTGGAGGCGAGAGGTTGTATAGCTCTTCTACTGGCTTCCTGGAGAAGTCCTTTTCAGACTCCGAATTTGAGAGTGGTGGGGGAAGGCTATGATGGGAAGGGGACGAGGACTGGAGACCGGCCTTGAAGCTGCGTTTGCGTAACATGCACTTAGCTTTCGTCTCCACTGTGCGTTCATCTGGGATGAAGGGGCTCCTGGGGTGCGAGGTCTCGGGGTGGAAGCTTCTTTGGTAGATAGAACAAGCCGTATTTTCTTAGCTTGAGTGGCCCGGATCAGTAAAACGACGTGATCCAAATATGCGGAATTTTTCTATTCTTAGAGGGGGTTCCAGATGTCAGGAAACTTGAGTCTTCTAACCCCCACCCTGATAAGAGTCTGTCGGACCACCCGCCCACATCTGACCACCAAGATTTCACCAAGCCCGGAGAAGAATTCACAAGGTCCAGAGCCAGTTTCAGGCTTGGTTGTCGGAGACAAATCCACTTCGGAGTTGGGGTCCTACTTGTGGGAGGCCCCAACTCATAGGAGGGGTGTCCGGGGACGCGGACCTAGGTTTTGCTCAAGAGTTCATCCTCAAGTGCACGTGATGGGGGCATAAAGACGAGGGTTGATTTAAAAAAAAAAATGTTCTTCCTTTTTTAAAAAGAGGAGGGGGGGGAGAATCAGACGTTAAATTCTTTTGCAAACATTCATGCCTAAGGAAGGGCTGGAACAGGCAGCCCCGGCCGCCGGAACCGGTCGGACAGGTAGAGAGCTTGTTGACACCGTTATGTTGCAGGGCGCATGCTCACTCCCAAGTTTCCTGGTGCCTTTTCTATTCCACCTTATGAAACTTTTTCCGCGGCGTGGTCTCACCCAGGATTTAAGGCATAGGTGCCGCAGAGCCTAGAAGCTGCGAGTCGCCGGGAGTAGAGGGAAGAGGCCAGGGCAGCACGGTGGGGGGGCGCGGGAAGAGGGAGGGAAGGTGGGTTCTGGACACTAGGAGCCGGGGGACCCAGCCGCCACCGCCGCCCCTAGCGGGGAGCATCCGGGAGAGGGGACCCCACCATGCCCAAAGTCTTCCTGGTGAAGAGGAGGAGCCCGGGAGCCTCGGTCCGCAGTTGGGATGAGCTCCCGGATGACAAAAGGGCAGACACCTACATCCCAGGTGAGGCGCGGGCCGGGCCTGGGCGCGGGGCCCCTGGGTGGGGGCAGGGTGGCCGCGGCCCTTATGCACGGGTCAAGGATTGGGGTCCCCATCTCTCCCCGAGTCCGGCCGGGGTCCCCGGGATCTTGCTGGCGGGGAGATCGGGGATCGAGGACGGGAGACCTGGGACGGCCGGCGCTCCCTCCCCCTAGCCAGAGCCTCTAATTGCCCGGCGGCGGGACCGTTGGTTGCAGCGCGGGCCGCGGTGGCCCTGGAAGGAGTTGTGAGCCTCTGGGGGCTCCCCTGCCCTCAAGTCCTGTAGACTGCACGCGAAGGTCCGCTAACCCTTCTGCAGCGAGGTGGGGCGAGGGCACCGCCGCCTCCGCGGGAGCCAGGGAAACTTGGCGCGCGGGCTCCTCCGCTGCGCGGGCTCCCCGGGGCTTCGTGGGCGCCGGGGTTGGGGCTGAGGATCGGTCCCCACAACACCTTGAGTTAGTTCGAGGGGCCGATCGCCGGGCTGACTCGCCAACCCCCGGGGGCGGCGTCGCCCACTTGGCGAGATGCCCGGGTCCGGGGCGGGGCGGCGGCACCGCCCGCAGGTCAAATTGCCGTGGGCGCCCGGGCGTGACGCCGCGTGGGGCTGAGTGTCGGGGCGCGGTCCCCTCCCTCCGCAGTGGGCCTGGGCTGTCTGCTCCACGACCCCAACGAGGACTGCCGCAGCGACGGCGGCAGTAGCAGCGGCGGCTGCAGCAGCAGCACCGGGGAGCCTGGAGGCGCCGAAAGCAGCTCGTCTCCGCCAGCCCCCGACCGTGAAACCCCGGAGCTCCGCGACGCCGAGGGCCCCGATGGACACCTGGCGGCGACGCAACGCCCGGTTGCCAGGTCAAAAATCAAGGTAAGGTGTCGACTCTGCCCCCGCCGCCACCTGCACCACTCCCTGGCGTCGAGCTCCCAGACCGGCGCCCCTCCCAGCTGCGCCCGCCCGCGCACCGGGGCCCCGCCGGCCAGCGCTCCTGCACCTGCCCCTGGGCGGCGGCCAGACTCCGCGCGCCCTGTCTCCCGTGCAGCTGAGCCTGGGCCGGCTTCCCAAGCGGACGCAGTCCTCCGGTCGTGGCCCTGCCTGACGCCGGGAGTGGTTTCTAGAGAGGCTGAGGACCAGGCCCAACTACTTCGGTTCCCCTGCCCAGTCTGTGCGCAAGGCCAGAGTCTTAACCAGCGGGCAGAAAGGTGGGGGACCTGGCATCTTCGAAGTGACTCTCTCTGGGATGCAGTCCCTGGCACCTTGCGGTCCTGAGAGTTTTGCGTCCTTCCTTGAGTTCAGGGACAGTGGTGACAGCTTGGCACATAGTGGACCTGTCTGTCGCAGCCACCCCTGTTCCTAGTGCCCATGTGCAGCGAGTTAGTGGCGAGGTTTACGCAGGGCACTTGAGTTTGCCTTTTCTTTCAAATCTTTAAGAATTAAATTAGTGGATAAAAGATAAAAGTGTTCACTCCCAGGTTTCTTGAATGTATGTGCCCTTCAAGAATTACAGACTTAGCCGAGTGTGGTGGCGCAGGCCTCTAATCCCAGCAGAGGCTGGTGGATCTTTGTATGATGGAGGCTAGCCTGGTCTACATAGCGAGTTCCAGACCAGCTGGGGCTACAGGGAGACCCTGTCTCTAAAAACAAACAAACAGGCCGGGTGTGGTGGCAGCACACCTTTAATCCCAGCACTTGGGAGGCAGAGGCAGGCGGATCTTTGTGAGTTCCAGGCCAGCCTGTTCTACATAGTGAGTTCCAGGACAGCTGGGGCTACAAGGAGACCCTCTCTCAAAAAGACAAAACAAACAAACAAACAAAAATTACAGACTTGTAGGTAACGTGGTATCTGGATGACACCTGTGCTTTGTTGGATAGGACTGTCTTGGTGGTCACCTGTTCAAAGCTGTCCCCTACCCCCCGGGATTAAGGAATCCTGTCCTGATGACTCATAACCAGCCAAAGAGAAGTAGGGGGTGGTGTTTTGTGCATATATTCTTGGTCCCAGCCTGGAAAGCTATCTGTGCCATTTTGTGTAAAGTAGGTGGTAATTCAAAGGTGCTCCAAGGTGCACGCCACTTTAGGGACCCAGGCTCAAGTGAGGTGGGAAAGGGAGGGAGAGCCCAGATGCTATGAGGGGTAGAAAAAGCAGCCTTTACTTTCCCAAGGGCTTGGCCGAAGAGTGAGCTGGACTGCATTTGGTTATGAATTAGGATTTGTGGCTAGAGCTGGAATCCACAGGAAAGACTTCTTTAAAGGATATTGCCAACTGCATCTGCTCTTAGCAGAGTTCTGCTGAGGTTCAAAGTCAGTTAGTCTGAGACTTCTGGGCCAGGTGGGGTTAAGTGGGAGGGAAGGGTTTGCCTGAGGCTGGTAGCGCTTGCCCTTTGGGACTTTCGACATAGTGTCCCACTTGCATATTTAACTTCAGGTTTGAAAGACACTGTAAGGTTGTTTTGGAAGGAGAGTAACTAGTTTGCTCCCACTCCAACCCCCAAGTTGGCATGGAGAGAGATCCAGTCCCTTAACTCTACATTTTGGAAGTTTCCTTGCCCCCAGGCAAAGAGTGCCATTGGAATTTTGGATTAAGGAAGTGAATAAAGCAATCATTTCCACGATAAGGTGGGGCTGTGATGGGGGAAGGGCTTTCAGACCGTTAACCAGCTCTCCACACTTTCCCAGGGAGATTTTATTCACCAAAGGCATTCAAGTTCCTTCTCTTCCCCTCTGCATCAAAATGGAGGCATCTTGATATTAGCATGCTCAAAGCCTCTAGAAATGCTCCAGCTGTGATATTGACAGTTTTCAAATGACTGAGCAAATTGCCTACCTTTTAGCATATTGTATGACTTTTTTATAATGCGTACAGAATGAAGAATTTCCTCTAAGAATTAGTTTCTTGACTGGAAGAGGAAGAAAGCCACTCAAGGATGAGGTCCATTCATGGCATGGCATATTGCTCCCCAAAATAGAACCCAGCCCTCCTTCCTCTGTGTGCTAGACAAGCACTCTGTAACTGAGCTGCATTCCTAGTCTTAAATATCCCTAAATATTGTTTTATTGACTTAGTTTTCATAACTTGAAGACACACTGGGCAGTGGGCTTGTAGGTCCAGAGAAAGGGCAGGTTTGAGCCTGTGCCTTGCACAGAAGAAACAATCTTGCAATCCTACATTAAATGCAAGGCAGTCGAGACATAAAAATGCTCCTATAGACCAGGTATGGTGGTACCTGCCTTTAATCCCATCACTTAGGCAGAGGCAGGTGGACCTCTGTCACTCTGAGGCCAGCCTGGTCTCCATATCGAGTTCTAGGTCAGCCAGGGCTATATAGTGAGATTTTGACTCAACAAACAAAAAGGAAACAAACAAATACTACTCTGGTGTTCCAGAACCTTCTAGCTGTGTGGTTAAGAATCTAAGTACTGGCTTTTGGCAATTCTTAGAACTGTGTGTCCTTGAACAGTGGTTCAGTCCTCTGGGCCTCAGTTTCCTTATCTGTAAAATGCAGATGTTAATGATATCCTCCTAATACAGTGTGAGGATAAATAAGTGAAGGGGCTGACACTGTATGTGCTCCATAATTGTGGCTATTTGGGCTGGAGGGAGACCCACGCTAACTCCGCTATGGGAGAATGAGTGCCACACCAAAGGTACCAGCAAAGATGTAATTGCTGTAAGTGGGAAGGGTTCTTCATACGGACTTGAAGGGTGTGGAAACGGGGGTGACTGGCAGACCTTAGTGGGCTGAGCCTGTGCCTAAGGAAAGGACTCAAAGCTCTGGTGAGTAAAGGGTAAAAAACACACTTGTTAGAGTCGGGGACAGAGTTGGCAGCATGGAGCTGAAAAGGAACCCTAAGGCAGGATGGGGGGAGGTCAAAGGGCCAAGCCAAGAGGAGTGGGGACTCTTATGTGGGCCGAGGAACAGCTTTGGAAGGCTTGTGAGGAGGAAAGCTTCCGTTGGGTAGTCACCAGCTGTGGTCATAGATATGTGTGCTCCTCAAAGCTTCATGAGTTCACAGAACTCATGAAATAAAAGAACCAGCCTTTCAGAGCATTGTGTCCTCTGGGTGTTGTGAGGTGAAAGCATGGATGCATAGTGTTGAGCACTTCTGCACATGTAGAAACTGCCCAATAGGAAGTCAGCGGACAGTCCTAGCAGGTTTTGTTGTGCTGTCTGCAGTAGGGACCTGGGATTCGACAACCTGGTTGTGTTGATGTGGTAAGTGTGTCTGGAAAGAGTTTGGAGGCAGGTTGGGAAAATAAAGTCCATTCTTGCCCATCTGATCTTGATCTGCAGACCTCGGGTGGTTTGTGAAATGATCTCTTTCACACTGAAAATTCTGTAATTTACAAAACAGGTTGTATCAGGGAGATACATCCATCTGGGTCCCTTGGGGGACCCTTTGCAGATCTCCAACTGCAACTGTAGGGTAGAGAAACCCTGAAAATACATATCATCTTTGTACCTTGGAGTCTCCCCCCAAAAAAGAAAATCTTTTTTTTTTTTTTTTTGTCTTTTTGAGACACAGTCTCCCTGTAGCCCTAGCTGGCCAGGAACTCACTATGTAGACTAGGCTGGTCTTGAACTCACAGAGATTCTTCTGCCTCTGCCTCCCAAGTGCTGAGATTAAAGGCGTGTGCTACCACCCCCAGCTCCAAACAAAAATCTTGAGTGAACTCTTGAGTTGACTGTGGTTTATTCCCTACTCACTGCAGCTGGCAGGACCCAGGGACTAGTTGGTGAATGTCCTTTCTAACCCTGTCTTTTTCTTTGTCCTCTCCCGTGAGTTCTTCAAAAGTATTCCACCTTTCACCTGACTCTCTAGGGGGTGGTGACAGTGTGTGGCAGATGTGTGCACTTTTTCCCCTCCCACTTTTAATTATGAAAAGTTTCAAAGGCAGAATAGTACGTATCTGTCACCTAGTCCTGGCAGCCATCAGCCATGCCAGTCCTGCCCATCCACACCCACTTCTATCCCCCACCTTCCCTCATGTGACTTTGAAGCAGTATCAAACCATACCACATAACCACAGGCCGCACATAGAACTGTGGTTCCGTAAGCTTTTAATTCCAGGTGACGTCGACTTGTGTAAATACACTCAATGGTGAAGTTGCCTAACAGGGCCTTTCTCAGAATGGAGCCATCATTAAGCAATGCCTGACTATACATCAATTATAAGTGGTTCAGAATGTGCCCCAATCACACCCACTTGGATTATGTGTTCACATTGTTAAATGTCTCGTAAATTCCTACATTTCCTCTCCAGTTTGTTTAATCAGGTCCTCATAATGTCCACACATTGTGGTTGACATTTGGCATAGCCCTCAGTTGCCTTTTATTTATATATTTTTTTTCCTCCACTTCTTTTTTATGTGCTCACAAGTTAATTGTTGGAGCAGTGGGTCATTTGTTTTGTAGAGGTCCCAATGGTCTGGGTTTTGCTGAATGAGTCACCTTAACATTTTAGTCTCTGTTTATTCCAAATGGATATTAGAGCTAAGGATACACAGCTCAGTGGGGTAACCCTTGCCATGGGCAGCTTTTTAAACCATGTGGGATTAAAAGTGAAGCTCCTCAGTCACTGCTGAATCGGCCAGTTCAGTGTAGAGATTTCCAGTGGTAGAAAGATGTACAGGCCTGTGTGGCTCTGTATGCTCTATCAGTTACTTTATTTTGGTTTGAATGTGTCACGATGTGTGTGTGCGGGGGAGGGTGTCCATCAAGAAGCAGAGCATGTTTGTTATCTTTCTGTGACTGTGGGAGCTGTTGATGCCCATAATTATTTTGAATTATTAGGTGCTGCAAATAGTGGTATTCCAGTTCTGTTCGTTTATTAGCTGAATTTTTCTTTTTCTTTTCTCCCCCTTCCTCCC